ATTCCTGCTACAACACACAAGTATTAAAGGCTTCTTGAAAAACGCAGCTTTGATCGAGTTATATTTCACTTTTAGTCAGCTTTGAACACTGAAGATCAACATACACTGCCAGTTCACTAATACATGGTGGATAATAGGACATTGAACATGAGTTATTTTGCTAATGATAAAAAGGCAAGCAGCAACAGAAATTCCCTTTTTGTGTCCTTTAAAGGAAGGAGATTTCTACAGGACGTATTATGGTATGGCACCGTCACCAAGCCAATTCCATATCGAAGGGTGAGGGTTAAAGCCACGCGTGGCACCGCGGAGCAGCGCGCGGAGCCTCTGCACGGAGAGCCGACAAACACAGGCCACGACAAGCAGGACTCCCGTCCAGGCCAGCAGGAGCACGGGCCAAATCTTTTATATATATTTGACTGAACATTATGAGTTCCAAATGACTTGGAAGTTTTGGCCTCAAAATTTAGCCCCAGTATAAAAGTCATATTCCCTTTCAACTCCAACCATAAGATGCAACCAGTAGCCAAAATATTACATTTTTATTGGTATCTGCTCTCCAAGAGAGAACATTCTGGTAATTAAAAATTAGAAGCACTCATTACTGAAAAAAAAAAAAAACTCAAAGACTACCAGTATAGCATCTTTAAGCTAAAAAGACCAGCAGTCCAGATATCTCATAGCACAGTTTTAATATTTAGCAAACTGTATATAAGGCACAGTGAATCAAAACAAACTGCAGTATATAATTGATTATATACATTAATATTCAACGCCCACAAACATATACAATATTGGTTAAGTGCTATTCCCACAGACTAGAACAAAACTGTTTATTCACATAATGCCACTCTGTATCCTCAAGATTCTGAAATTCAAACTGTAGTATTTTGAAGAATTGAAAATTTATCAGTGATTATGAACCAGAACATGTTCAATGCAATTTGTTAGCTTCAAATATAAACCACAACATTAAAGGCTGCATCACTTCTTAACCATGAGCTAGGTTTAAGAAAGAGCTTGCCTGACTCAGCATGCAAGTTGCTGATCTGTGTTTTGAGTTCACTTCTGTTAATAAAGTAAAACTTCCCCATTTAAAATTGCTCGTATCCAGCATTGCGGTGTTTCTTGTGACCAAAAAAGTAAGCCAATAGCACTAGGACAACTAATCCTCCCAAAGCTGCTCCTACTGCTATAGGTACAATGAAGTTGTCCACCTCTGGGCTGCAGTCTTCAGCTAAATGGAAAAAGGGTAAGTTTGAAAAAGAAATCCATTTAAATAGAAGTATTTAATACTACAATCTACCTCTAATTACTTAAAACAGTTATGCCTTTCCCCAACAGGACACTAGACAGTCATCCATAAAACCTTGTCCTCCTCCCCCTCCCCAAAATACAGAGCAATATTCCACCTTTCCAAGCATCATAACCAACAGACTCATCACTCTGATAGATTTGGGTGAAGAACAGGGATTAGCATGTTAATGTAGATTAATCACAGCTCCTCCCGCCATGAGACCTACAGACCCTACGGGACGCAGGACAGACCAGCAAGAGGCACGAGAGGATCTGCAGGGTAGAGGATCTACAGAGGATCCGCTCTGCCCTGCGGACGGGGCTGCTGGCCAGTCCTGCACAGGCTCCTAGAGCTCTCCCGCTCTCCCTAGCAGGGACCCAGGTCGCTTTCCAGAAGCTCTGCGGGAAGAGAAACCCAACAACCGGAGCTGAAACCCAGGGCTGCTGCCAAACCAGCCATAAAGACACCTCCTGTGGAGGGAGCTGCATCTAACTAAAACTTCATGAGCAGCTTCCTAAGGGTGAATCATAGGTGCAATAACTCAATTGGTTCTCAAGGTGTCTTCTGCCACTGGATTCTAGTCACGGACATCTCAGAACATGCTGCAAAACGGCACTAAGACCCAGGCAACAGAGGACTCTGCAAGGAGCGCCCTGAGCAGCCTGGTAACAGAATCTCAAATATCAGCTGATTCCAGTCGACCTTACTCGTTTAGTTTATTCACTAAAAGATGATACAAGAAATCTGTTTTTAAAATAGTTAAAAAATGTGAACAAGCTTCCTTAAGAAATAGAACAATCTTTATTGTTTAGAGCACATGTTGAGCAGGTTGACAATTCCCTACGCAACAATACATACAGGAAAACTAGTGTTTTTTCTAACAACAGGCAGTCATGTCAAACTTAGATGTTTTTCTGAACCAGTTATCTGCACACCAGTCTAGGAGTGCTTTCACCTCTTTTACAAAGACACATTTAGTTGTGTTGAGCTTCAGGAGAGTTTGCACCAATCTTATTTTGTTACTTGGAAACTGTGCACAGTTCAAAAATGTGTATTTTGAGGAACACAGCTGTGGTGATTACTCCTTTTCTCTAACAGAAATGCACAGGTAACTGGGCCTTCAAACATCAGTCACTAAAATGCTAAAAAAATCTGTATGAACTTCTGCATTTAAGGATATTTTTAATATGTAAGTCTTTCGAACCATTTTCTCAGTTAAAATTTAAAGTGTTGAAGCCTATTCCAGGATTAAGCTTAAAGTAGATTCATTTTAATTAAAGTGGGGAACTCAGTAACCAATGCAAAATTCAAGTTGTAGACTAGATGCTAGAGTAAGCATTATCCATTCATTCTTGCTTGCTTAGCCAGTGCCAAGATTAAACTGTTTTTACAAAAAAAATCCTTATTACTGAAAGAACAAATTGTATCTTATGATTTGTATACAAACATGCCACAGACATCTCTATAACCCTAGAAAACACTAATAAAACATTAAACCAGTATTGATGCAGGCTAAACTCATTCTAAATGGGAGAATGCAGTTCCCTTCATTAAATGACTAACTTATGCAGCTCATGTTATGACATATGCAAAAGAGTCAAATGCATCTTTTAGAAAAGACCTTCCCTCCCCCATGCAGTAAGAACCAGGTATTTCAGCATAAGGAGCACAGAGAACAGTTATGCAGTCAGGGTTAGTCTCTACAGAGCTGCAGTTTAAGAACAGTCCAGTTGCACCTCAATTTTTAAGCAAATTATTCTTTCCACACAGCAAGGAAAAACAGGTGTAAGGGATCTGTCTCAGACTTGCTTGGTTTTTGCATTCTTAACAGCAGCATTAACAAATGCCACGCAGCAAACTAATCAAACACAAAAGTACACTGAACATCCAGAATGCCAATGGTGGACAGTCATAATGAGAATTTGGATTAGCAGAGAACCACCCAAATGGAGATTTAAAGAGAGCTCAAGTTGCATAAACTTATACTGGCTCATTAAATGAAAGCATCTTTAATAATGGTCATTCAAAACAACAAGACAGACCATTTTTGTGCAAAGTATGATATAAAGTTAAGTGCACTTTAAAGTTCTGGAATATTTAAAAAGATTATTCCCTTTAAACAGATGACAGCAAAAGGCCTGCTTTAATTCAGCAGAATTTTGCTTCAATTTTGTATTTTAGGGGACTGTCGAGCTATAAGGGAGGAAGAATTCAGCATCTAACAGTATTTTTGAAAACATTTGGGAACTGCACTGGAGTCTTCCAATTTATCCATCGCCTGGCAAGTGCAGATTACCCATTTTGCTTGTACGGCCAGGGTGTGGAATGGTTCCTAAAACCACCAAGGCAGGAGTAAACTACTCAAGCTTCACCAAATCTAAGTAGGTTACTGCTGCTGTTTCATAGGATCATTTAATCACCAGCCTGGAGCTTGGTTCCACAAGAAACAGGGTTGTTACTGGGCATCATACAAACCTTGTTATACACCACATGAGTCACAGTGACTAACGCTGTCAACTTAACCCACGATCACGACAACAACTAAGGAATGCAAAGGAGAGAAGCAAGTACAAATTCTATGCAACGTTAGGAGTTGCCCAAAGCCTATCAGTTTAGAATGTGCTTTTGTTTCAAATTATGATTTGTAAAAAATAGAAAACATTTGAGTGCTTTTGCAAAATAAAAATCCTTTGCTTAATTATTTATCCAATAGAAATATCTGACATCTTCCAAAGAGCTGTGAAACTCCTGTCTTCTTTCTTGGGGAAAACTAAAAACACAGTTTTGCTTCATCAGACAAAAACATCCTTTGTTTCCCAACTCCAATTAGCTGTGCCTAGTATTTACTCTAAAGATTTTTTTTTGTTTTGGTTTTTTTTGTTTTGGACTTCAAAACTTGCACTTGCTTCATTTAGAAAAATCAGAACAGTGATCACATTCAAATTTACAAAGTTTGATATCCAGCATAACTTTTTCTTCTGCCAATTATGTAAGCAATCACTATAATAACAATCAAGCCAGCAAGTGCAGCACCAACTACAACTGGGACTAGAATGGTGTCATCATCATCCAGCGAACACTCCTGGGCTGTAGATGAGAAAAAGGTTGCAACAGGGAATAAATAAAGACAGAATGCTTGAAAAAAAGATATTTTCCTTAACACGAAGATGCTCAAAATAAAGTATTATCACATCTGTATAGTGAGAGAAAAGGAACTATAAAGGTCTCATGAATACTTCTGGCAAATACTAAGTCAAACAGAACATTTAATAACTAAACTAAAGGTGCTATCCTGGTATATGGGCTTTCATGTGCATGAGATCTGTAGAAGAAAAGGGAGAAGGCATTCTTCTACTTTTAGGATAGATCCATATTTTATGCTTAAGGGAAGCCTGGTGCTTTTACTGATTAAAACTAAAGTGATATGGATTTGATATCAAGCAGATAACTGCAATGGTGGTAGACACAGATGAAATCACTATAACTGGAAGGAGGAGAAAGCTAGCTGCAACTTCAACTGCACAGTAAAAAATTATTTGGGAAGTATTATAATAAAATAAATACTGTGTATTTTGCTTCCATAAGGAGAGTCAGTTCTCTGAAGAGGTTCAAAAATCTGTACCCAGCCTATTATCTACAAATTAGATTAATCCAGGACTATACTGACAGTATTGCTGTGAAACACGAAGACCGTGTTACACTAATGGCCAACAATAAAGCAATTTAAGCCATTCCTCTTTTCCTCAATCAAGATCAGGATGGTACAGCAAATAAGCACTTCAGGATTTGCCTCTGATCATGGACATTTGAGACCCTTTCTGGAAGTAGCTCTGTTGGCTCATTTTTTTCCCAGCATTCCTGTTCCTTTAGGCTGACAGGTCAAAATAAAAGAAATGCCTAATAGTGTTACCAAACTGCATTTCTGCCGACGTTTTGTCCCGTTTTCTTACATACTCAAGCTATGAAGACATATGCATCAGAAAGATGTCAGAATTTGAGCCACTCTGCCAAGCAATGCTCAGTCCCTCATGTCACTCCCTCACATTTTATGCAGGAGAACTTACATACCTGGCAGACATTTTTAAAATGGGGATAAAATTTGACAGTCCCTTCTTGAACATGAAAGTCAGTATCAGAAAACAAACACCATATGCTTCAAAAAATAGTGCTTATGTCCAGCTCCGTTAGATGTTTTATAGCAAGCAAGAATTCTTTAGTAAAAGATACTACAGCTTGATAGTTTACTCTTACCTATAGAGAACTTGTTTTCCTTCACGAGGAATGGCTGAATCCTTAGATTAAAAGTATTTATTTCGAGTTTTTCACTGATTTCAAGAGTTTGCTCTTTTTGACACATATAGGAAACACCAAGGGTAGCATCCCACTTGCTGATATTGTTGTTATCTGCACTTAAAATGACTAAACAAAAGGAGAGAATAAAAATTAAGATGTGCAGGCTCACTTCAAATGCAAGAAACATGCTAATACATTCACAAGACTAAAAAGCTGAATCTAGAGAGGTCACTTTCACACACTGCCTACTCTGAAATACAAAGTAGCCTGAAGAATGATTGATCTGCTTAACTGTAAGAAGTCAGGCACTGACTTTTTATAATGCTTATTACTAAGACAGCCTCCAGAGGGATATGACATAAGCCTTCCTTGTACCTCTACTCATTCCAGCATTGCTGAGGTGCAATCTTAATGCCCTTTTATTTGCAGCAGCTCAAAAATAAACAAAAAAAGCATACTTTTGATTTGAAAAACAAAAAGAAAAAATCCCCAAAAACCCAAACAAAAAACAAAAAAAGAAAAAAGAAGGCCTCAGCTGTCAGAAGGAACATTCTCTTCCTGGTCAGGATTAAACAGGACAATCAGCATCTTCAGGCAAAAGAAACAGCTGGTTTAAGAAAACAAAGAAATTCAGATTTGGCACAACTACATACCACTCCCCCCTAAAAAAAAAATTGAAACTGAAAATTATAATAAAAAAACTCCCTTAACTTATATATTGTAATCATTACGCAAACGCTAGATACCCTGCTGTTTAACTGGATACCCTGCTGTTTACGCTTCTGTTTAAAGTAACTTTTGTAGCCATCCTATTACTTTTGTTTATAGCCTAAAGCCTTAAAGTCAGAAGTCAAAGTAGGCACAGCCAGCAATAAAAAAAAGTCAGAAGTATTTGCTAATATAGACACAGAAGAGATGACCATACTTGGTTTAAGGCAGATATCATCTCTTACCAGAGCCATTCACATGGTCGAGCAGCGTCACATTCACCTCTTTCAGAGAAAATCTTCGTACACTTGCGCTCGCGTTCCTCTGTTTAGGGAGCAAGAGCCACGGTCAGTCTGCAATTCTGCATTTTGCAATTTACCTTGGAGAACACATCCTTCCCAGAGGCAAGCACATCTACCACTGTCTGAGATATCTCAGAACTTTATCCCAAGGGCAGTCAGTTACCCAGTTTTACTTCCTACATGTGAACAACTGATTACCAGAAAGCTACAGAAGGGCTTTACCATGAATACTCATCACATAACGCCATTAAAATGGAAACTGAAAGAAGTTACTTACAACCACAAATATGAAATCAATGAATCTGCTATTTCCATCATTCAATCTCAGAGTAGCTGATGTGTTACCACAGGTACCACTAGCACTAGTTGTCTTTGGATTGATGTTGATCAGAAGAGGCTAAAAAATAGAAACACCACAATTAAGCAGTTTAGTTGTCATTAGGAATCTAATACATCAGTAAGTAGCAGTCTTGGGCTAGAAAAGCTGTCTGAAAAGATGGCAGTAGGAGGATCAAATCTGGCTACCATCTAATCAAGGCTACTTGATTCATGTTTAAAAGCTGGTAGCACTGAGGCAAACAAATTGCCTAATAATAATGTCACTTATCAGGGCTTTTATTTTATGCACCTAATAGAACAGCTTTGCTTTGGCTCCCTCTGCGGGAAAAAAACATTACTTGCAGGGTTCAAATAGCTTTAAAAGCAAAGAAATTTCCAGGCTTCTAATCATGTTAGAGGCATTTCCAGTAACTAGCTGAATCTAGATAAGGTTTTGAAGCAAGGTACTATGCCATAACTGCTTTGACATTGGAGAAGCAACATACACAAAGAACAACTCCTGACAGTCAGTAATGCAGGGGGCAAGCATCTTGCACCCACTTTATACAAGGAAAGAAACACAGCAACCTTTCTATTCTTCTGAAACGTGAGAGAGGTACCTTGTCTTGTGATACATTCAGCTGCAGTCCCACACTAGCCAAAAGACAGGTTGTATTTCCACTTTTAAGAGAATAGTTTCCTGTGACTGGATTCTCCATAGGTTTGGGAGTAGAGGTTGGAGCAGGTGACAAAGTGGTGGTCGATGGAGTAGTTTTGTTGGCAGCAGTAGGCACAACAGTAGGTGCAGAAGTAGGTGCATCAGCATCACACCTGGACTCTGAACATACGAAATTTTAACAAGCATTTCACATGAGATTTTATTAAACAAAGTCTTATGATCGAGAAGTTCTGTTTAATACAGAAATTTTGCACTGCTGTGGCCTTTATATAACACATATGATACTAGTTTTTTCTGACATACTGATGTGAATTATATGGACAAAAATAGCTAGGAGTGGTCATAGAAGTGCAATGTACATTTTGCCGTATGCTAAGTAAACAATCCTATTAAAGCCACATCCCAGATGATGCTTTAGTCTTTTTGATTAGCAGAAGCTTGAGCTGAGAAGGCAGCAGGTTTTGGACTAAAGGTAGAAGCAGAAAGTCCACCTCTGAAGACAGAAAAAAAGCACAGTTCAAAACCTGAAAGCTCAAATGCTCTATTCAGCAACAGTAATCTTTTGGGCTATTTGGGCTGTCTTTTAATACTCTGATTACTAGAATACACATTGTATGAGACTACTGCCTTGACCTGAAAAACAGTCTAAATTTCCACACAATAATAAAACTGTACCATTACCCCCTTTTTTTTTTTTTTTTTTGAACAAGGGAAGGCCTACCAAAAGATATTGATGTCCGTATTACGCAAAATAGTTGGCAAATCTTAAGCGTTGGTAGATTTTCTATTACAGGACTTTGCTTCTTGCACTAAGATGCAATAGAAAACTGCTCATTCGGTTTGAAATACTCACCTTTTTTTCCAATTGTGCCATTCTGAACAAAAGCCTGCAGAGTGACATTCCAGAAGATCTGTGTTACATTTTCTGCTTCAACAGAGTCAGTATTATGACACACAAAGACGTTATTCAGTTGAACTGGACGCATAGTATCCTTTACAACAATGGTAATTGGTCCTACAAATAAGCACAAACAGTTATTTGGCATTAAAATGCCTCATAATCTGCAAGAATATTTACAAGGTACTGTTATTTTTATTATGATTCCATAAAACAAAGAATTAAGTTTAAGGAATTGTTTAACAACCCTTACTCCTCTTACATGTTTTATCTACATATCTTGTCCTGAAGTGCTATGTAATGTAGAGAAGTTAAAACCTACAGAACTAGACACGTCACTAGAAAGGAGAAACATTGTATTTATTTTTTAAAGAAAAAAATATGTTAGTAGTAGCAAGTCTATTAGTATACAAAAAGCCTAAAACTTTATTTTATTTAAAAGCAGTGGAAAGTAAAGCAGCGTGCACAAAAATGAGTCTTCAAGATACCCGTTGTCTAACGGCACCTCAATGACCTCCTGTCATTGCACTTAAAGGCATTATTAGAGCAGGGAATACAGAGGGGTCTGTATTCCCACCCAGTGGGCAAGTATGGCAAGAAACAGCTGTGCAGTATATAGCACAGAGGTTGTTAGATGCTCTATTAATGCTTTAGATGTTAAAAAAAAGTCCAAGTGCAACAGGGCATGTGAGACAAAACAGTCTCTGCTACAAGCATTGTAAGTGGGATCCCACACGGAATATTACCTTTTCTTTTGGCATCTGGAAACACAGCAGCATCGTTGGTATTGTAGGTAAACGTGATGAAGTCTGACTGGTACGTTTCATTTGTTTTTGTAAAGTTAACGCTCCAGGAGTGACCTTCTCCAAACTGTATTGCCAAGAGTGCAGCTTGGGCGTCGTTACCGCAGGTGCTTCCATTGTGCGTCACATTGGATCCCAAACTCAAGGTTGCATTTTTCTAGGAAAAAAAAAAAAAAGCGAGTTTTAGATACTTTAAGATGGCTGTTCTTCCCATGACAGTATTATAAACTTGCTACAGTTAGATGAAACCCTGCACAAAATAGCTCCATATTTTAGGTTACTCTACAAAGTTATGAAAAAGGCTACTTGACACCTGGCTTGGAAAGCAGCTAGTTCAGATTCAAGTACAACCTACAAAGCTAACTTGGTCACAAATCTTAACTCTGCTGAGCTGTAACTCACTTGCTGTTTGGTTTAAGAACATGACTATAACAATAAACAAAACTTACTAAATTTGACAAGTGAGCTGAAATACACTTTGAAATGCATATTTAAGAACACTCTTAACACTGACTTGACACAAATCAATGAACTGGGTAGCAGAGCCTACTTAGAGTTTTACACAAGGCTCAACCAGTTCTGAACAGAAGCTGGTTCCAAATACTTACATAATCACTACTGTTTGTTTCATATTTTATTGAAAAACTCATCATCCATTGTGCATATAAGCATGTAGCATTAGAGGCGTCTCTCACATCTACTTCCACAGCATAGGACTGGAAGAAACCTGTAAGATAAGCTTATTAGCTGGTAAGGCATTGATTTTATTGATCTGTTTTTGAGGACAGCTCAATACAAAGTAGTAGACACAGTAAGTTACTTCAGAACTGGATTTCATTCGCCTGCTAGATTTCTAACCATTATTTAAACTGGGAAGCACAAAATGAAGTGTTACTAAGACTTGACAAAACTTCTGAAAAGGGTATGTTGCAGTCTACTTACCTAATGGAAGACCAACAACTTAAATGAAGCTTTCCAGTGTCTGGAAATGTGTAAATGGAACTGCAAGAACATTGCAACATTCAAACAAAGTAGAGCTTTAAGAACAAGAGCCCCCACATTATCTTATCTGTTTCATCGAGCAGCAGGACTCAAGATGCCCTCTAAAGGACAAGATCTGCCAGCCTCTTCGTTGTGCTTCCACTGTTTTTGGCCTGAAGGACATGAATACTAAATTCACTAAGTTTTAAAAGAACTTGTTATAGGTGCTGAATTTTTAACCCACTCTGACTCTCAAGAGGGGCATTTGCACATACTGAACTTTCTTTTCTTGCTGCCCCAAATTTTGTCTGTCACATTTTCACAGAACAGATAAATCCTGATCAATATAACGTTGAGATTTACCAGGCTGTCTTCCTTAAACATACTGTCACCAGGATCATGAGGTTCTCTCACACAGATCACCCAAGTTCCTCTAACACATGCAAGTCAAAGCACTTTACATTTTGCTTCATGTTTTGCCTTGAAACAAAGCATTTTCTCCCTGTCACACACAGATTTTCTTCTCTATCAGCAGTAAAGACAGTTCTGCACACAAGATAGTTGGCTGAAATAACCTACAACTACAATTTTCCATTGCTTGTGCACTTGTGAATTAAAAGGACTGTCAAAATTCAGATGCTCTGTTATATCCTCTCTAAGAAGTAATCAGGACAGAGCTCGAGAAACTCGGTACTGCTAACTTTGAAGTATGGGAAATAGTGCTTGATACCACACTAGTGATTTATCAATGCTATCACCCTAAGAAAACTACTATATTGAATGAATATTTAGGACCAAGCACAAGGCAGTAAGTTCCTTTTATTTGTATTTATTTACTAAATCTTGAGCTTAAAGCAATAAGCACCAAAGAGTTTCTGTTTCAGTGGTGCTAGTGAATCTCCAACTAAGCATGCACAGCACTAGTTCACGTCCCACCCGGGCCGCCTCCAGAAACCCAGGCCATGCCCTGATCTCCTTGGAACAGGCCCCTGTTACATAAATTGCTAGTAGATAACCCTTGGTTATCTATGTTTTGTTACAAGGAAATTCACAGACCATTTCAAAAGGACTCTCTAAATGAGCTAACAACTGAACAGCTGAAAGGGCTGGGGGCAGAGGGGGAAGTTATGCATAACAGCCCCCAAATTGTAACTTTACAGGCTTTTCAGCCTCCTAATGATCCTAACTTCAGTATCAAAAATAGAAGCAACCTTCTCATTTATCCTATCCTTGCTCATGCATTGACAAGGGAAAGACAAGACATTGGGCTCTATTCTGTGGCAAGGCCAGGTGTCTCCCTTAAACATTAGCCAGGGACACATCAGAACTTAGGTTACTGCTTTCAGCAGCACAGTCTGCAGCAGCTCATTCACATCCTCTGCTCTCATGGAAAGGTATTTTGATGTGACCGTGATCGTTGAGCATCACAGCTTCAGCACGAGGAGAGTTTAGAAATGCTGACCGAAAGCATTAGCGTTTCTTCCTCCCAGAGGAAGGCACAAAATGCTGTTGCTTGAACTTGAAGCAAGATCTCAGAGCATATCTGAAACTACGGCAACAAGAACAGATAAAACACTACCAAGTTATACAAACCATGCCCGCAAGACCAACATCACTCTGACATTGACACTGAAGTAGCTGTTCTTTAATCACATATGATTTCTGTATATATCTATTTTAATCTATCCTTCTTTCAGACCATCAGTTTAAATAAAAACAATCTGAAAGAAGCAGAAACATCTACACTCTCAAGATATAAGTAACGCCCAGAAATTTAGAAGATATGTCCTACCAAACAACACAGATATGAAGAAGCTCTTCAAAAAGCACTTAGTGCCTCTGCAGGTGCTCACTCCTAACTAACTGGAGACCCTCACACTCACACTAGAAAAGCGACTAAAGAAAAGGAGAAAGCAATACAGTAAAACAAAAGGTTCTGAATGTTATTTCTGCCTTCCACAGTGCATGCTGCTTCTCGAGGTTGTGTGTCATTTACTCACCTCCACCACCTAAACACCGAATAAAATCCTCGCTCCAAGTGGAGTGAGGCTCTGCCTAGACTTCCACAGAGGTGGCCGTGCCAGGAAGGCAGGAGCTGCCCCGGGAATTCCCGCAGCTGGCAGGGCAGGAGGCAGCAGCAAACCCGCCTCCAAAGGAAGGCTCTAAACACACGAGGTGCTTGCACGTTTGTAAATGTTTGGTAGGCCTTTTTAGGCTAATATTGTTTGTGCTGTGGTGCACATGAAGACACCGCCTTTGCAATTCACAACCGCAAAGCACACAACCTTACTGCCAAGAAGGGGATTGTAGCTCCAGCAATATTAAACAAAAACTCTTCTTTTTAGGTCAAATAGTTATTTATTACTGTACCCGTGTATCAGTTCTGTGATAACATCCACTCTCATTTCAGAGGAACTGGGCCAGGCCTTCTGTTTCTGGAAACCACTACAACCTAGGCAGAATGGCCATGGGACTCCAATATATACACGTCACGCCACATGACATGCTAAAAGGCTATTGACTAAGCCATAAAGCATAATATACTCAGAAGTAATTATTTTACCACAATTTATAAAGCAGTATAAAACTAGCAGGAGATCCATGCTAACATTTTACTAACTTGCTTTGAAATACTGCAAGTTCTTGGCTTCTTAATGTGGTTTTACATACCAGGAAAGTATTTCATCTTCATAAAAAATAGATGAAAAAAAGACATAAATGTGCTATAAGTCTATTTTTGCTCTGAGTTAGCAGGTGAGAGCAAAAGGAAGAAAGCTTATTTACTATGAGTAACTGAAAACATCCTAGGAATGAAGAGAACTTCACTACTCAGAAGTACCAACTTAATTGGTACTTAGACTGTTTTCCTTACGGAGAAAGTAGCTTGTAAACAACTTCTCTAAAAAGGGTATTTCAGCAGAAGTGATGGTAGACGCAGCAGTAAGGACTGAGGAAATGCTACAGTAAGCAAGCATATACAATAGACTTGACCAACACGGATGATCTCAACACACGCACACACAGCTTACACACCCTAACCTACTTAACAGTGAGTAACTAAGCATTTTTTTGGCCAGTATAACCTTATTCAAGATATTCAGATATTATGGAAAAGAAAGTACATGTTCCCTGTAACAGAACTGACCTACCTTTAAATAAATGGTTAATGCCCTCAAAAGCCAAACAGACACAGAAGTGACAAAGGTCTAATGCGGTTGGCAGGAAGTGCTAGTGTAACCAAGGACTATATTCAGTTCGCTGCTAAATTTTTAATATATAATTTGCAGAAGCGAGGCATTCTCTCATGAAGCCTACAGAGCTCCTTGCAGGCCTTGCTCACATGACAGCACCGTGGACAGTAAAGCACCGTAAGGAGCGTGGGGCCTGCACTTACCAGCAGTAGATTAGCCTGGCTTTTTCCACACCTACCCAACGTCTCCCTTTATAGGAGCAGCGTCTTTGCGAACAAATGCACCTGAGTAGGGGGCGCGTGTTAAAACACCCACTTTCTCACCCTTGCTGACCAAAGGCCTCGACAGACACCCGTGCAGGAGAGCTGTGGTGTAAGGCTGCTCCTTGATGCAATGGCAGAACGGGGCAGGCGCTGAAGCACAGGGCTTTGCACAGAGCAGTAACAGACAACACATTAACACAACACGGGGCCGCGATCCCAGGGGCGACACGACCGCGCCGCGGGCTCTCCGGGAGGGCTCGGCGGGGGAAAGGCCCCCTCTGCTCCCCCGAGCTGCCGCGCACGCAGCACGGCGCGCGACTCGCCTCGTCAGAGGTGCAAAACCTACTGCCAGCACCTCCATGGCTCCTGTGGGGGCTCGCTTTAATATTGTTAAGGGAAAAAAAAAAGTTATTCCGACATCCCCTGTTGCCCGAGGTGGCACCTGCCGACGTG